GTGTTTACTGTAATATATTAAAATGTATAAATATAAACAAGAATTTTATATATAAAATATATGTTATAATTCAAACAATATAATAATAAATACATTTGAAATATATTTTAATAAAATATATGTTTTTCATGTATGTAGTATATATTTGTATGTAATATAATTATGGTTATACTTACTGAAGCTTACTGTCTTAATCCACATTCAGGAACTGAAGTGTATTTTAAAGATTTGTGAATGGCACTGGAAAGATTTGAGAGATGGGCGAATGTTTGTTTACTTAAGACCCTCCTGATAAACACGCTTTATTTAGAAACAAACAGTCGCTGTTTCCACTCTGTCTGCTCTGCTCTGATGTCTGCGTGTGTGAGAGAGAGTGTGTGTGCATGAATAAAACATGCCAAATGTGTGTGTGTGTGTGCATTTGGTGCCTAGAGACATCGTTCTCAGTTCCTCAGTTACTGTCGTCTGTAGAGTTTGTACAGCTGTGTTCAGCCATGTAAAAGGAGGTCAAACGCCTGGAGTACACACACACACACACCTCACATGTGACCGTGTGTGGGTTTATAAGAACTCATCGGTCATTAATGCTCTGTGAAATAACGTTCCACACGAATCTCAGTGAACTGTGTGAATTTGCAGGGAAATGATGGTGTATATAGGTGTATTTGTGTGTAATTGCATGAGTTTTTAATAAAACATGAACATGAGCCACGCCCACCGCCAGTTCATATTAATAATTTGCCACTTTAATGGTGTTTGCTGAGTCAAGCGTCACTCATACTCAGAGGTGTGATGCTGCTTTACTAAGTGATCAGATGCACCATTCTCACCTGCTGCACCAGAAAACCCCACAGATTCATCTATCTATCTATCTATCTATCTATCTATCTGTCTGTCTGTCTGTCTATCTGTCGTTCTATCATTCTATCTCTCTCACTTTGGTTGAACGTCGTTTCCGTTGAACACTGCATCTAAATTGAATTTGACTGTGGAGAGGGAGAGTAAGCGCAAGTCTTTTTATAGCTGATGGAACATGATTCTGCGGGTGTGATTTTATATATTCAGATGCGTGATGTATATTTCATTGTCACTATCTCTGGCTGTGTGGGTCAAGCCGACCTGAAAAGTTGATACCATTGCAAACCGAGTGGATGTCTTTGTACATTTTTATCCCGTTTCCCATCTATACCGTGAACAACAAGCTATAGAACACAGTGGTGGACGAAGTACACAAATCAAGTACTTGAGTAAAAGTACAGATCCGTATAATAAAATATTACTCCAGTAGAAGTACTCAGTTTTCAATTTTACTCGAGTGAAAGTACAAAAGTACTTGATTTTTTTATGTACTTAAGTAAAAAGTACCGACAGATTAATGTTTATTTTGCAGTTTTATATAGGCTACTTTTATCATTTAATTTTATATTAGCATTTATTTTTTATAATCCTTCAGCTACTCCTATAATCCTATTTTTTATAATCCTACTCAAAATACCTGGGATTTTCCCAAAATAACTATAAAAACAGACGTAACATAGGGCTAAATGCATAGCATTTTAGTAAAACTGCTAACGTTACAGCAGCGGGGAAAGATGAACGTGCATGAGTTATTTTATTTAATCCGTGTTATTTTAATGTTTTTGACCTAAAACATAGAGACTCTGATGTTAATGTGTCTGCATTCAAGCATTTCAGTGGGCTTAAACAGATCACCCTTTACAGCAGATTTAGTTCACAAACAACTGACAGCTTTGACCTAAATATGATTTTCAGTTACAATAATTAATCCTAAAATTCGACATTAGTAACTTATGTAATCTATCTAGGTGGTTGAATACAAATATTTGGACTTTATTTAAAAAAATTACCTCAATTAAGCACCAGCAAGCTCGTTAGCTGGACAATTAGCATCAGCTAACATTATTGACTTATTTTCAGCATGGTTATGAATAAACATTTATATTCGTTCATGAATCAGACACCGCTTCTGCGTCTCGGAGCACTGATATATTATAAGGAGTAACGATATGTTTTATGAAATGTAGTGAAGTAAAAAGTACGATCTTATGCTTTGGAATGTAGTGAAGTAAAAGTTACTCAAAATAAAACTACTCCAGTAAAGTACAGATACTTGAAAAATTTAGCACAGTAAAACTACTCCGTTACTGTCCACCACTGCAAGAATGAGACACTGTGTCCTGTTTTAACGCTGTGGGAATGCCTCCGGTGTTACTAGTGTCTGAAGCATATGTGAAAACGCCAATTTCATTGTCTGGCAGTCACACAGAGTGTGGCGCATCATCAAGGCCATAAAAGGGCATCTACGTCATAGAGTTCCCAGATTATAATTGTCTGAAAGTAGTGACCTTGGTCGAGAGACTACTTTCACTCTGCCATACCTCCCCATCCGAAGGTGGTGCTTTCCCCTTGGCCCCCTGCTTCGGCGGGTATATACAGTACACTAGAAATAAATCCTAATTGAAAGACATCCATCATAACATTGTCAATAAAATGAAAATAAAAATGGTGTGGGACCTTAAGCAAAGTTGAGGTCTGTCCACATAATCAGGATTTAACAAACTGATGTGTGCGTATTACCCTGAGGCTGACAGGGACTGCCCTGCCTCAGTCACTGATATACAAAACTGCCACCACGTGGCAATATTTCAGGTCTGGGAGGAACATTTCCCTACAAAAACTCTTCCCAGAAGCCATAGGCTGGACAACCCAGCCCACAGGAGAGGTGTCAGTCATGGCAGCAATAGCAACACACCTCAATTGAAGGACCCCAGGTCAAAGCCCGAGCCAGACCATATAGTTAGGGAACAAATGCAACTGTGCATAACCCTGTAACCCAAAAAGGGTAGCCCCTAGGGATATATACTTCAACTAAACAGTCAACTAGGTTTGTCATAAAAGAAGAATCCATTGAGACAACTATGACAACATGCCTCAAGTGTGGGACCCTAGGTCGAAGCCGCCCTCCGAAGAGAGAAAGGCAAGAGGCACACACTCTTGAGCCCCCAGGCATCAAGGCCACTATTTCTTTTTGTCTTTCTAGCCGAAATGACAGCTCTCAGATCCATCTTGGGTTTGGTGTGCCTCCTCAACCCCTGACTCCTCCTCGTCTTTCTCCTCGATTCCAGAAAAATTTAGCCACAGATGCCTCTCTGTGGCAACCATAGTGGCCATTGATCAGCCGATGATATGCACCATATGCCAGGTGGCATGGACAGCCAGATCTGTGGCCTGGAGAAGTTCTTTTATCACTTTAAGGGATACACCCTCACTCATCCAAGGCTGGTAGGCCTGCAACACCTCCATGGCATACAGGGACCCCAAGCCTGACCTGCCGCTGCATAAGCTTTGCCCGCCAAGCTGGATGTTACCCTACAGGGCTTGGAGGGCAATGCTGGAGCCTTCAAAGACAATTCCACACCAGGAGAGAAATAACTAGATAAGAGATAACTGAAGAGTCAGAGTTTCTTCAACCCGGGGCATCGTCATGTATTGATGCTTATTCAACCCATCTACATTCAAATAATTAGAAGCACCAGGGGTAACGATGCAAGCCAAGTACAGGTTCTACCACATTTCCGACACCTCGGTACGGAGATCGGGCAGTAACAGAAGGCTTCTACAAGGAAGTTACATCTAATATACTACAAGCCACTTCCTGTTTTCCCACCGGCCAATCAAAGCTGAGCTTGACTGTGGCCTAGGTGACCACCTCCAGCAGCTCCTCATATATAGGGATGAGCTAGCCTGAGACACACCCGCTTCCACACTGACCACATCCACCTCCATAGAGCTAGACAGCCAGTAGTGGATTCACAGCCAGATTTGATATCAATGGATGAAGCATGATAAATGGAAACACCTGTCTCAAATTCCTCTGAGAAACTCCACAATCCCCATGATTTGAGCCACCACTGCCTCGGCAGATGCAGCACCCAAACCACAAGGTGCAGATACCTGACTCCCATCCCTCGAGGAAAGGGCCAGGCTGGAGCAGAGCTTCCTCAATGGGAAACTCTGACAGTGCACTCAGCCAACCCCCTTTGTGTTCTCCTGATAAACCCAAGAAACAGAGAAAAATCGTTTAAATAAGAAAGAAAAAAATAACATAAAAATAATAAATAAAATAAAATAAAATAAAGAAGCTTCTGGGGAAAAGCCCACACATTTTGATATCACAATATCCCAAATATGCCTTCTTGCATCGGAATGAGTGTTTCAAATGTACTTACGAGAGCCGAGATATGATGATGTCATTTATTACCATTCATTATTCCATTTTCCACACAGTAGCACAGGCACATTGTATTAAAGGTTAAACAATATCTTAATATTCCCTTTAAAAAAAAAGACTTACAACCTAGTGACTGAGATAACGCTATTCTACATTCTCAAAAATGTGGCCAGATCACTGCAAACAGGGGTTGTTTTTCATCATGAAAGCGTAACATGAAAAACATGAACATCTAGGCCTGGGATGCACATGACAATTTCATAATTCATCTGTTTTTCTCTGACGATGACGCCAGTCTCTGGCAGTATTCCCCAGCCACGCAGTCAGACATCAGAGCTGTTCTCAACATCCATAAAACAAACCATATGACTGCTCATGCCTCTTAACATAAAAGAAGCTATAATGTAAATCATGTTACAAATGACAGAAGTAAAACAGTGTTCTGAATGCAATTTTAAGGCAGGGTTCTACACACAGATATGATTATGTATATTTATTGTGAATGATTATGAATAATTTGATTATTAAATGCAAAACATAAAACTGAGAACTATACAGACTTTGGTCACTTTTTCCATTATCTATTCGCAAACAATCAAATGGGAAAATAACATTGCAAAATACAATAAAGAAGTATAAGCCATATGCTTTTTTGGCAGAGGTTTCTCAAGACAAAACCTGTTTAAAATGCATCAGATAATAACTTGACCAGATAAAATTGTAAAAATTGTAATACTTTAAATGACCTCAATACACAATCTGTTATGTGTAAACATTCATGTTACATGTTTCATGTTATTTTAATAGCTGCATATATTTTTAGTAAAGTTTGAGAAGAAAAGAGCTAATTTTTTATGCTCCTCAGAGACCTGCAATATTCCATAAGACTGTCAGTTTATATTGTACATATTTGCAGTGTGAGTGCATGTTTCTGTAGTAGCTCTGGCTGGTTCCAGATCTGTATTGTGAGCTGTACGGGAAAATAAAGAAATAAAATCAAACAGCTATCAAACCACTGCAAAGACGTTTGGTACTTGAAGGTACACAGAAATCGCTCGGTTTAAAAATGAACGCTACACTTGTAGTCTAGTTTAACCATAGCCATGTGATATTTTCTTTGACTGGCCCACTGCTGCAGCTGCATCGCCTCACCGTCTCCTCTCATTCTTTCACTGTACGTGAACTTACACATCCCACACATCCAGTTAAGACACAGCCCTTCCTGAACTGCAGCGTAACATCTCAGGGTGTGAATCTTGTCTTTTCTCAGGGCACTTCTGTGTAGATTTTCCAACACAAAATTTAAGATGAACTACACTATTTAAAATGTGGGTCACTGCACCATTAATAGTAATATTAATGTAATTAGTAATAAAAAATAAATCAGCAAAATACTTCTTTTTTTTTTGTGTGTGTGTGCAAAAAACAAAACAAAAAAAACAATTATGCTAAAATAGAATAAGCTATTTTTTCAAACCCTTTAGATGGATTTTTACAAAAAAATACATACATTTCTAATAATCGCACTAAAATTCTTTCACGATGGCACTTATCAAACACTAAATAGGTTAAAACAATCAAGCAAACAAAAAAGAAGGGATATCATATATCAGCAGGCATTTGAACCTTGAAACTATTTTACATCTTTGTATGAATCTTCTGAAATGATAATTAAGGTCTGTCAGAGTGAGGACACAGGAGTAAGGCTTTGTTTAAGCTTGCAATGACCAAGTATCCCATCCATGGCCTCAGCCATGTTGATACACACTGTCCTTCATATGATATTCATGCACGTCCCGTAACGCTCTCTGACAGCAGAGGTTAAGCAGGGGTGAGGAATTTGTACCAGATTCTCCAAAAGCATGGCAAAGGTGGCCTAACACTTGTGCTTCATGGCAAGCTAAAGAGAGAGAGAGAGAGAGAGAGAGAGAGAGAGAGAGTCTTTTAAAGATCAAACTGCAAATTTACTGTACAAATAGAGTATGAAATGTCTAATAAATTGAAAAAAAAAATCATGTTACATAATCTCCTGTCCCTTGCATGCTTGTTTCATATACATGTGTTGGTTCATTTGATAATGCATTAAAGTAAATAAAAAATTTATAATTTATGCTTTATAAAAATCAATAGCAATGATGCATTTAATTGATCAAAAGTGACAGTAAAAACATGCATAATGTTATGTTAATGTTTAAAAAATGATTATGGTTTCCACAAAAACTTGAAGCAGCACAACTGTTTTCAACATTGATAATAATCAGAAATGTTTCTTGAGCAGCAAATCAGCATATTAGCATGATTTCTGAAGATCATGTGACACTGAAGACTGGAGAAATTATGCTGAAAATTCAACTTTGTCACCAGGAATAAATTACATTTTATTATATATTCACAGCAATTATTTCAAATTGAAATAATATTTTAAAATATTACTGTTTTTACTGTATTTTTGATCAAATTAATGCAGAAGAGACTTCTTTCAGAAACAAACTTCTGAGCAGCGGCTGTGTCTCTTTCATGCAGTCGCCACATGAAGGCAGCACAGCAGCACAAATGTGTTTTCACAGAAAGTCTGCAGAAACTGGCTAAGAGTAAAGACAGACATGTGGCACACTTCACCTTGTGTGCAGTGTCGGCAAAATGCTGGGCGCTGTTCATCATCTCGCCCGTCTTCTCCTCGACGCGTCCCAGTCTCTCGCCACGCTCGTTCAGTGCCTGACTGGCCTTCTGCACCGCGCTGCTAACGCTGTCTGCTGCCTCGTGCAGGATGCTGTTCCCTACACACACATCAGGAGAAACGCGTCAGGAAAACACCTCCACAGAATGTGTGCTAGCAGTAACGCCTTGTGAAAAAGAAGTACTTATTACAGAAACAACATACTTTAGAGAAATATGTGTGAACTGAATGTAATGTTTTCAGACACTTAAAGGGATAGTTCACCCAAAAATGAAAATTCTGTCATTAATTACTCACCCTCATGTTGTTCCAAACCCGTAAGACCTTCGTTCATCTTCGTAACACAAATAAGATATTTCTGATGGAATCTGAGAGCTCACTGACTCTCCATAGACAGCAATGATATTACCACGATCAACGCACAGAAACAGAAACGTAGCAAGGACATCGGTAAAATAATCCATGTGACATCGCGGATACGTTGTTTTCGTTCAAATCAATGCGTAAACTACGCAGAAAACGTATCCTGTTGAATAAAGTCGTTATTTTTGTTTTCTTTGCACACAAAAAGTATTCTCGTAGCTTTGTAAAATTACGGTTGAACCCCTGATGTCACACGGACTATTTTACCGATGTCCTTGCTACGTTTCTGCGCGTTGATCGTGCTAATTACATTGCTGTCTATGGAGGGTCAGAGAGCTCTCAGAACGCATCAAAAATGTCTTGTGTTCATTTTTGGGTGAACTAATCCTTTAACTGCATGTTATTTACAATTATATGAAAATGTATTATAGTTTAAATTTATATTAAATTTACTAAATTTAACAGAGTGCGTTTTGACCCACTTAAGTAAGACTTAAGTACATCTTTATATGTAATTAATTTCATTATTATTTGTATTGTCTTTGAAATATGGTTAAAGTGAACAGCTGAATGTATTGACAAGCATTCATGGTGAACCAAAATATACTTTAAAGTCATTTCTATTAATACTTGTGCGTCATGTATTTAAATATAGTTGCAATGATGAAGTTGCAATTTAGTACATTTAAAATATATTAACGTCAAATAACACACCGAAGTTAAATTATTAAATACTTTACATGTGCTTTAGCGTGTTAGTCAACACATCAGACAAGTGTAGGGTAGAGTGGGGGAAAACGCCCCCCTTAAGGACTGTGTAATTTTAAATGTGTTAAATGTGTTCACAAAAGTTATCATAGTTTTAGTGACAATGACATAAATTATAAACAAAGTATGAAAAATGTCCAGAGTTTTCATGTTATTAGATTTTTAACAAAAATTACATTTGTACCAAGGGGGCGTTTTAAAATGCCCCCCAGTCCGACAAAGCAATTTGCTTTAAACATTTAAAGCAAAATCAGAATACAGACAGTTTTTGCTTAAAATTAAAAAGAATATAATCAATAATTATGAATTACAAAATTATAATAGCCTATTTGAAACATTTTCTTAGCTGATGCTAACTGGCAAGCTAACTAGCTACCTGATGCTAACTTGAGGTCATTTTTAAATATAAAATCCAAATATTTTTATTTAACCATCTAGTTAGAATACATTTGATGGAAAAACAAAGGATTTGATGTTCAGAACAGAATAACTACAGTAATTGCCCATTGCCCCCTCGGGGCGTTTTACTCAGACTATGTTTGAAAAAAAAATAAAAATATGTCATTCTGAAAATATACTTATATTTTTATTAAATAACACATACTCCCTATCTACAGGCCCTACTGTTCTCATATCATATATAACTGTGATGTTCTACAAAGCAACAAACTTTAAAACACTTTTGAAAATTAGATAATTTACTGTGAAATCGGTTTTCATCACCAGTGTAAGCTTCATGGTGAAAACTTCTACATCTCTCTCGTCAACATAGTCCACAGTTACAATACAAATTTATCTTGACTTTATCTTGTGGTTATTTTGGGAAAAACAGTAGGGGGGCGTTTTCCCCCACTCTACACGACTTCTTTATAGCATGACAAAAGATTATTTAAACATGATTTAAAATGTACTTTAAAGATAAACTTTTAATTTGATATTATTACAAAGTTCACTTTTTAAAGTATGTTAAGAAACATAGTCATGAAAGTGTCTCTCTTTACACTTAAAGGCACAATATGTAATTTTCGCCACTAGAGGGCGCATATTCAAAACAAACAACCTTTTATTTTGTTTATATTATATTATATTATATTATATTATATTATCTGCAAGAACAGTTTCTTTAAAATATACTTATATAAAAGATTTTAGGTACACTACAAATTAGGAGTGTAACGGTACACAAATATGACAGTTCGGTACGTGCCTCGGTTCTGAGGTCGGTATGGTTTCGATACAGCAGGGAAAAAAACAAAACATAAATTTGCTTTTTGTTCTTAATTAAACAGTGGTTTACTGAACAAATGGCTCTTTCTTTAAATAAATTCAATTCTAATTAAAATTTTATTCATATTTATTTTGCGTTAAATGTAGTAGTAAAGAGTACGGTAAGGGATGATCGTGCTGAACTGAGGCGTTTACACAGCGATCTGTCACGCCACATCAAAAAGCGCCAAAACAACATTTATTGTCTGAATCATTTGAAAGATGATACTTTGTTTCTTATCAAAAGAAACAATATATACAACTGGAAGTTTCCAATAAAGTTCCACTCATGCAGTGGTTAAAACGATGCTGTATTTGTTCGGTACACACGCGTACTGAAACTAAAGACCTGTACCAAAAATTCTTGGTACGAATACGTGTACCGTTACACCCCTACCACAAATGTGACCCTGGAGCACAAAACCAGTCATAAGGGTACATTTTTTGAAATTGAGATTTATACATCATCTCAAACTGAATAAATAAGCTTTCCATTGATGTATGGTTTGTTAGGATAGAACAATATTTGGCCGAGATACAACTATTTGAAAATCTGGAATCTGAGGGTGCAAAAAAATCTAAATATTGAGAAAATCATCTTTAAAGTTGTCCAAATGAAGTTCTTAGCAATGCATATTACTAATCAAAAATTAAGTTTTGATATATGTACGGTAGAAAATGTACTAAATATCTTCATGGAACATGATCTTTACTTAATATCCTAATGATTTTTGGCATAAAAGAAAAATCAGTAATTTTGACACATACAATGTATTGTTGGCTATTGCTACAAATATACCCCAGCGACTTAACACTGCTTTTGTGCTCCAGGGTCACAAATGCATATTCACTTAAGCACTTCCAAGGTAGCATGACTGAGAAAGCTACGGCACAATGCTGAGCTAAAAATCATGCAGAAATTATCCTGAAAATTACATCCTAATGGTGGAAAAAACATGGTGGCACAAGATTTTCCATTACAGGATGTGCAGATGTGTCCAGCATTATAAAAAGCCCATTTGAGCACAACATGTCATTTATTCTATCCAGCGTCTGTCCATGGCGCTTAATAATGAAGCTGATCCAGCGGTGACATGGATCCCCACAGTTTTCGTCCCACACCTGAGCAGCTTCACATTTGTTTTGCACTGGTGTGAGACTTAGACCGGAGGGGCCAGAGTGATCTCCTCGCTGCCATGATCTCATTAACTATAGAGTGACCAATGTTGACATGTAAAAAACTGTTGCTATATGCTCATGCGTTATATGTTTTGGGATCATGTGACTGATCATTTAAAGTTTTAAATTTAAACTTTGAAATGCCTTCATAAACCATAAAAACCCATTCATTACTTGAAATAAAATAAACATTGACTTAAATAAAAATGTAAAAATTAAACAATTTATTTCAGCTACAGTTGTCAAGGCAACATTTGTCATTTTTATTTAAAGTTGAAGTACTAAAATAACTAAAACAACAACAAAACAAACGCTAAAACTTAATTAAAATATACAGGCATATTTAATAACTAAATAAATAATAAAAATAATAAAAAAATAAAAAAATCTTTAAAATAAATCTTTGGTCCCCCAAAGAGCCTTTCAATGATCATTTCTTAAAATAACTATTTTTGTTTCTTAGTGTAAAGAACATTTTGACAAACTAAAGATTATTTTCTCACTATAAAGAAGCTTTTGAGCAACGGAAAAGTTCCATGGATGTTAAAGGTTGAAGGTTGGGAAATAAAATCCTTTTAAAAAATGATTCAATATATGAGCTAGATCGTGACTAAAAACCATTATATATCTATATATCCATTATCATTATGTCTCTTTAAGCTCACAGTCAGGTGTTTTCATGTTTGCTCAGCTTCACTGAGTTCTGCCAGGCAACAGAACCAGGCATCTGACCCTCAGGAGCCTCAACTCTGCTTCCCACAGTAACACAGTCACTGAGTCAGACTGCCACTAAAAGAATAAAGACAAGCAGCAACACTAAAAGCTGGTATTTATTCAGTGGGAGGAATAAGTGGCTGGGAAGAGAAGGAGGGAGCTTCCCCCAGGATACAGTTAAAATAGCATCAGCACCTTCAACACTTTAATTGTAGCATACAAACGTGAACGGTCTGCGCTCGCAGTGGTGCTGCTGCAATGCAGAACAAGTCCTGATTAAACAAATGTGTGCATAATCTACAGATATAACCCCACATCAATGCCTGCACCTTAAAAATGTTAGACAAGGTGGCAGCAGAAAAAAACATGTGCAATCCTGTATAGTACATGCACCCTAATTTATTACAAAAAAAATGTATCATTGTCAGCTACTTGAAATGAGAATCTTTTGGCATTTTAAATTGATTTGAATTATTTAAAAGTCATATGTCAAGATTATTGCAGTTGCATAAGCAGGATGCATTGAGAACATTAATGTACTGTTACACCTCTAAATTACATCCAGTAATATGTCACCAAACAGAAAAGAATCTGAAATAAAGTGAGTGTCAGGGTAATTATAGTAAAAGAAAACCCTCCATTAATCATGTCCATGAGTTATAAGCTATAAACATCAAAGACACAAAAAAACTTGCTAAAAGTTCTCATGATTAGCAGAACAAAACAGATGTGCTGTCCTACAGAAAATACAGTGGAATAATAAAGAACTTTACACAGTTTGCCTGCAACTAGGAAAAATATTATACATTTACATTTAGTCATTTAGCAGACGCTTTTATCCAAAGCGACTTACAAATGAATAGAGGTCGATCGATTAATCGGCAGATTTTTGGCATTTTTTAAGTAATCAGCCGATTGTGCTGCAAATTAGGCCGATTTATTGGCAGACGCATCTGCGGGCAGCTAATCGTTGTTGCGGAACGCCGGAGAATCTCTCTCTGGCTGCGAGAGACGGAGCAGCTCACACTCTGCAGCCGCTTCTTGTTCACACACAGCTTCAGCTAATGATGGCAGGGCAAAACAGACCGTTTCGAAAGCGTAATTACGTTTTACCCTACTAGAATTGATGCCGGAAAGTTATCATATTCATAAGTGCAACAAGTCATTTGCATGTGAAAGTAGAAACAGGTGCAATTCAGACGAAACTTCTGGGCTGATTATAATGTGCACTAGACTTGTGCTGGTATTCGGTAATGCGATATATCACGGTAATTAATATGCACGATATTGTTATCGTGGGCACTTCTAAATACCGTGAATAATTATATATTACAAATTATTCAGAATTTTGAATGCATTTTAAGAATACTTTTCCCATAAACTGGTCAAAATGCACAACACCGCTGTATGCTGCATGAAAGATGCCTGCGCACTCTGATGTAAACAAGCGCGGACGAGAAGCACATGGAGGAACATGTGAGAGACGCTCTGGATGAAAGCGCACTTTCACTCTCTGACAGCAGATGGCGCTAAACTGCAGAAATAATATAATAATAATAATAATAATTCATTTAAATGCAGCC